CTTATTATAGCTATTAATAGCTATTTAAAGCTTTAATAATTAATAATTACCAGCTTTTGGCAATTTGCTAAATAAACCAAAAACTAAAAAAAAGCTTGTAACGTTAATTACGGAAATGTAACGTTTGCCGCGAAAAAAATCGATTACGTTTTGTTGTAACGGGAATAAGTAAGCGTTAAAAACGGAAATTTTGTTAAAAAGGCGCAAATCCATAATAACCCGTGCTTTATTTTTCCCGTATATTCGTTTCCATACAACGAAATATAAAAAAGCAAAAAGCGCTAAATTATACATAAAGGTTATCCGGCTTTGCTTGTGCATTTTATTATATGCTTTATCGATAACCTTTTTATTTTTTTAAAAAACCGGGTAAGTTTGAAAGCAAAATTAAACGGCTTGCTTTTTTTATCCTTCCATAAATAAAATTTGCATTATTTTTTTTTTCGGAACGTTAATTTAATTACTTTTGTTGTTTTAAATGCCGTAATTTTCGCAAATGCGTTAAAAACGGTTTAATTTGGAATAAATTCGGTTGTAAATGTAAATGCCGTTGGCCGTAACAATGCTTAAAGCTTTGGGCGGGGTTTTAAAACCAAATTAAAAAAGCTTTTTAAGGAATTTGGAAACGTTTTTTTGGTTAAAAATGGTATCGCTAAATTCCGGGGCTTTTTTTGGTTAGCGTATTTGCTTAAAAGGTTTTAACGGTAAGGATTTCGATATCCGTTTTTTAAGTAATAGCGAAAACCGCGTTGGACATGCTTGTTATAAATTGGAACGAAAGGGGTAAATCGATTTTTATGGTCGATTTAATTACGCTTTTTATTAAAGCAAACTTTGGGTTTAACAAAACGTTAGCGCTATCGAAACGAAATAATAAGCTAACGTTGTTTTGGCCTTTTGTTAAAAGGTTTTTTTCGGCGGCAATTGCCGTTCCGTTAATTAAACCCATAGCAATACCGGTAGCGGCGAAAGCAGTTATTCCGTATTTAACAAATGTTTTGGCTCGTTTGTAATTAATTACGAAATGGATTTGGTTAAAGCATTTTTGGATTGTTGCCATTTTTAATTTGCGTAAAATTTTAATTTCCTTTTCGGTAACGTTGTAAATTACGCATAAAGCGGGGCATAACGCGTTCGTAATTGCGTTTATTGCGGTTGGGTATATGCCGGCCATAAAAAGCTTTTTTTTTTAAACAAAGGGTGGTAATTTACAAACATTGCTGCGGTTTTACCGGGGGCTAGCTTAAAAGCCTTTTGGTTAGTAACTTTGCGCACAACCGGTTTGCTTTGCTTAAAGGTAATAAAAGGGATAGCAAAATGGGTTTGTAAAAAATGCATAAAATTTGCGCCGTAATTAACAACGGTTTATTTCGGTTTAAACCAGGTGTTTTTTAACAAATATCCTACGTTAAAAAAAAGGACGATCCATGCGTACGCTTGTTTTTTGGTAATACTTTAAGCGCCGGTTACGTTAATGCTATTAGCGTAAAAAAAATTATTTAAATATTAAAAGGATTTCGTAAAGCGTAAAGAATTTTAATTTTTAATGCTAACGCTTTTTCCATTAAAAACGTTTACAATTTCGGCTTTACTTTTTACGAAAAATTTATTAGCAAGTTTCCGGCTAATTATATTTTTGCCGGTATTTAAATCCGTGCAAATTAAAAAGTTAAAGGAATTTTTAAAAGTGCGAACCAAAATTTACTAATAAATATATTTTCCAAAAATTGCGGTGGCCGCCGCTTCCAACGTTTGTTCGATTACGACGTTTTTATTAATAAAATTAGGTTGCTTTTTAACTTTGTACGTTTTATTTATTACGGGTTTTTCGGCGTTGCACGTATCGAAATGCTGAAATAGCGCATTGCGGGCCTGGAATGGTTGCTTATAACGCTAACAAAAGTAACGTGCGTCCTTTTCCCAGTTAAAATTTAGCATATTGTAAACGGTATCGTTGTTGGAGCCACCCTTCGGGGGCTTTTTATCGCTTAATAATTCGTTCGAGCTAAATTCCGCACTTAATTCGAAAAAAAGGAATTTAAAATAAAATAAGCTCGAACAACCTTTTTGCTTTCGAACCTTTTTTTATCCTTTTTGGCTTTGTACTTTTCGGGGAATAGCCAAATGCCCTTTTTTTTAAGCTTTGCTTTTTTTTCCGATATTTATCGAAAAAAAGCCAATCCTTTTTGCGGGTGTTAAAAAAAACGCATTTGTTACGCTTATCGAATTTATAGAACTTTTTTTTGCCCTTGCCTTTATTCCCAAAGTTAAAAGCATTACCATTTTTTTTGGAAGCGGCCTTTGGGGTAGCGTTTGCAAGCGATAGCGTATACGGTAAAACGTGCCTGCTTTACGGCCTCCAAATATCCCGCCAACGTATTACTGCTTTAAAAGGCACGTAAATACGGCTTAATATCGTTGCTTACCCGGTTCCAAATTTGTAAAAGGATACCAACGCAATTGTAGCCGGAATCGGGCAAAATGCCCATAATGCGCGCGTAACGAAATTTGGTATTAGAAAATAAGGACAAAGCATTTTCGTCGCTTGCTATATTTTTAAAAGTAAAGCTTTTTGCTGCAAATTTGGCTGTAGCGTTTATAAAGCTAAGTGCAAAGCGTTATTTAAAAGCTTTAATAAATGCGGCGAAGCTTTTTTGGTATATAGCTACTTGTTGGTACGGGGGCATTTAAATAATTTACCAAATAAAGGCGGCACCCGTAAACAAGGTTGGGAAAAGTTCTTTAAATTAACGTTCGTTTGTTAAAAAAGTATTGGGATTTATTAAAACGCCCATAATGCGGTTTTTAAAAGCGTAATTGTCGGTTTAAATACCGTTTTTGCTTTTGGTTATGCATCCAAAATTTTGCTTGTTATATTTATAAAGGTTAAAAATTCCGATATTTTCCCGCTTAATTTTATAAACGTTCCGGTTAAAACGGTTTTTTTGGTTAAAGCCAAACCGGTTGCTTTAACCGTTAATTCCATGCGTTAAACTTATAGCTTGCAAAAAATGCATAAATGGAAATAATTAATATTGTTACGCCGGGGTATTCCGGTTAAGCCATTGCTAAGCTATAAAAAATTTTAAAATTTTTAAAAATAACGCATATTTTTATAAAAAAATTCCAATATTTGGATTTTATTGGCTTGCGCTTAACGTTTGCAGGGCGGGATACGCTTGCTTTTGGGGCATTGGTAGCATTTTCGGGCTTTGCTGCTAACCGTACGTAAGTTACGGTTTTGCCGGAAAAGGGGCAAATAAAGCATTTTAATGCCGCTAAGCTTGGTGCCCAATTAAGGCTAGCGCCGAAAGCATCGGGCGTTATCGCTACAACGAAACCGTCGTTTGCTTTTTGCCGTAAAATTGCATAGCGGTATTCGTATTAACATGCTTTAACGGTTCGAAATGTTGGTTTAACAGCATTTGCGGAAAGCCGCCGGCGTTAAATTTATTATTAATTTTTATTACAAAAGGTTGGTAAAAGGATTGGGCTAGGGCAATTGCCGCTGGAAAATTTCGAAAGGCGGGTAACGTATTTGGACCGTTTTTTTGGCCGCGGGCGAACGGAATTTAAAAATTGTCGCCGAAAAAAAACGTTATGCAAACCCCGCAATTAGGGCCTTTGCTAGCGTTGTTAGCGGTTTTTTATCGAATGCCGCCCAAAATTTTTTTAATTTCCCGTTAACGTTTTAAAATTGGTTTAAACGTTTACGGCAAATCCGTTAATTTAAAAACGAACGTTTTTAATTTTATGCCGCACTAAATTTAATCCATTTTAAATGGCTTTAACTATATGGTTGCCGAAAAAGTTTTGGATATTGCCGGCGATGCGGTTACTTAAATTGTTTTCGAAATCCGTTAAAATTGCATGGATTTCGTTAAAGCAATTTATAGTTGCCATTTGGTTTTTTTGTTGCTAACAATCCAACCAGCAAATTAATTCGCCGCTTTTTCCGAAATTTTCGGGTTTTGGGTCCGCGGCATCGTTTGCTTCGATAATATAGCTTTTTTTTTTTGCGGGTTTGCGGTTTTCGATTAGCCCAAATTTTTTAAAATTTAAATATTACGGATCTTTTATTTTGGTTGCTATCGTTTGCAACGTTATCGATTGTTTTCGCCAAAGTTTTGCTTTTATTAAGCGGTAAATCGTTGTTTTTCGCCATATTGGCGTATTTACCAACGTTTGGAACACCCGCTTGCTTTACTTTTATTTTTTTAAAGTCCGTTTTTATTTACCCGCGGGTAATAAAAAATAATCCGTTAAAAAGCCAAAACGCTTAAAAATTTTATGGATTTACTTTGCTTATAACGATAAATAGCTTATAAGGATAAACGAAGCTTAAATAAGGCTTTTTTGCGGAAAAATTTCGTGGTTGTAAAGGTAAAGCACGCGTTTATATAATTTCGCGTTTTTGTAAGTTCCGCGTCGAAAATTTTTAACGTTAATTTAAAAACAAAGTAACGGGAAAATTAACGTAACCTTAATTATTAAAATTAATTGCAACCGTTGTTTAAATAATTTAAATTAATTAATTTAATAATGCGGAAATTTTTAAATTGCTTTTTGGTTATTGCGTCGAAATCGAAAGGACGACGTAAAAAAAAAAAGATTAATGCGTAAGCACGAAAACCTTTCGCGTTAAAAGCAACCGATAGCTTTTAATTGCTCGGAATTACGGTAATGGTATTTTTAAGGGCACGAAAACCGGTTAAAAAAGGAAATAAATTTTTAACGGTACGGGGACCGGTTAAAAAGGCATTCGAAATTAATGCTTGCAACTTTTTCAAAGCACAAAAACCTTCCGGAAAACGCGCGATTTCAATTGCAACGGGAAATCCTTTAGGGTTTAATGGCCGATTAAAAAAAGGATTTTTTAATAGCGCGGTAACCAATCGAAAAGGAAATTAGGTTTTTTGCAAGTAAAAAAGTTGCTACCATTTATTACAATAATGAAAAGGAACAAAAAAAACGGTAAAACAAATGGTAGGTAGGTAAAGTTATAAGGAGCCCAAAAAAGGCCCTCCGGGGCGGCCGCGGGCGCACGAGATATTTCGTACGGGCGGCCCCACCCTTATCGCCTTTATCGGGCAGGGTGGGCCTTCAAGCCCACCAACACGGCGGGGCTCCTCTCTATCTAATTTATCTGCTTCACGGGGTTTAACGCCCGTAACACAAGCTATAAAACATGCAATTAATAATTTGCCAAAATGCGGTGATAAAATTTGCACTTTATCGCAAAAATACAATTATCGATTTAATTTAAGCAATTGGAAATTTAAAAATCCAATTCCCGGTAAAATGGCGGCAAAAAGGTAGCAATTATACCGAAATAGTAATTACAATTGTAAAAACCATACTGGTTTTTTACATACCCATCGCTAAAAATTAAAATGGGAAAAAAATAAATAAAAGGTTTGCCGAAATTTTAATAACGAATAGGATTTAATTTTTACCGTACCTTTTTAACAATTTTTTAACAATTAACAAAAAAATGGACGAAATTATAAAAGTTTTGCTCGAAATTTACAATTTAACAATTTTAAAGTTAAAAAGGAAAATAAAAGGTTGCAATTGGTAAATTAATTTTTTTTTTAATTATTTTGCAAAAAAATATTAAGCAAGAACGGCGTGGAAAGCAACCGAACAAATATTAACCACGCCGGGATAAAAAAAATTACCAAACAAAAAAAAAGCGCCATTTAAAGAGCGAAAAAAACACGTGACGCATTGCAATGCACAAAGCAAGCAAAAATTAAAATGCCAAAAGCATATAAACCATTGCTAAATGGGCGAAATATTTATTTATTTATTTATATATACGTTATTTTGTTTATGGGAAAAACTTTAATGTTATTGCTATGTATTGCGTAAGGGAAACCTTTAAGTATAGCTTAAAAAAGAAAACCTTGCGTTTGCGCGCCGGTACCGGTTTGGTGTTAAACCGTTAGCGCCGTTTATTGTACTTCGTTCGATTATTAATAAATGCTTTAGCAAAAAAGCGTTTTTGTACTTTCCGGCCAAAAGAAATTGTAAAGTAAAAATGTAATGTTAATATATAAAAAAATTTAAAAAAAATGTAAAAAATGTGGTTTTGGAAAAGCGTTATTGCTTTAAAGTGGTTTTAGCGCTTATTGCGTATAAACGATAATTTGGTTAACCGGGTTATTGCGTAAAACCAGCGCGTTGCATTTTTAACTTTGCGTTATGCTTTTGGGTACGGTTAATTTCCGGTTTAATATAACGGGTTTTATATTATTATTTTGCCTTTTTCCCGTTAATTTATTCCAAATGGTTTGGTAATGGTAACCGTTTTTGTTAACGTTTTTATTTATATTTTTGTTGGGTTAGTATTTAGCCGCATTTGTTAAAGTAACGGTGCTTTTGTATATGGTTATTTGGATGCGTATAGCTTTATTAAAGTTAATAATTACGTTTTAAAAGGTAATTATGCTTTTTGCTTTCGGCGGGGTAATGTTAAAAAGGGTTGGAAAGGTTTTTGCTTTTTCGTTTTCTTTTTTTAATTACGTTCGTTCCTTTTTCCTTTTTTTTTCCTTTTCGTTAATTTTAACCCTTTTTTTTGCCGGCCTTTTTTTTAGCGCCGCAACGATTTTTTTTAATTATTATAACCTTTTCCGCTTTATTTTTGCTTTATTGCGCGCTTTTTAATTTATTTTTTACCTTTATAACTTTGTTTAATTTCGTTGCATTCGACTTATTTTGGTTGCCGTTATGTTTGCTTTTTTTTTAAAAAAAAGGATAAAGTTAAAGCTAATTTTACTAAGCGTGGTAACCGCGGCGTTAACGGCGTTTGTAATGGTTAAAATAGCGAAAGGTTTCCGTTTGGTCCTTTTCGTTTTGTTACTTATGGTTTTGCAAAAAAAAAAAAAAAATTTATTATTGCTTTGCCCCGTTCCGTTCCCCGTTTTTTTAACGGCTATGCTTGTTAATACCGATTTTTTTAGCAATAACGGCAACGGCGATAACAATGCGCCGATTAACGTTAATTACGTTATTAATTATTTTTTGCTTTTTTGCTTTCGTTTCGTACTTTTATTTTATTTTAACCACGTTGCGTATTTAATAATACAAATTTATAACCCGCAAAGCAATGAACGTTTTAACGGCCATTTCCAAAAGCATTGTACTTTTTTTAAAAAATAACGTATATAATTTTTTGCTTTTTTTTTGCTTGCGTTTTAATTAATTATTTAAATCCGTATTTAAAATTTGTATTAATTGCATTAATTATTTGGTTAATAGCTTAAACGGAAAGCAAAGCGGAAAAAAGCAGGTTGGTAAATTTATTGTTTGTTATTTTAAAATTGGTTCGTTTTCGTTATGTTTTTGCATGGTTTCCGTTTTTGCTAATTTATTAATTGCTTTAAATTTAAATGCATTGTTTTATTGTTTATGTACTAACCAAAACGTTTGGTATAAAGCGGTAAATTATTTTTTATTTTTATATTAAATTATATCGTTAATATATTATTAACGTATTTTTGTTTAGCTTTATTTTATTATTATTAAAAAAGTACGTATTGTTGCCGAACGTTTTGTTAAATATTATAAAATGCTTTTTACGGTTAAAAATTTGCTTTATATTGGGTTAAATAACCGTTGCAAATGTTTGGTAAATTGGTTTAATTTTGTTAATTTTTTATGCTATGCCGGTTTATTAACGGTTGGTAAAAAGCGTACAACGCTTTGGTTTCTAAAGTTTTTACGTTTTAACGCGTTAATAAAAACGAATTTAACAAATTCGGTATGCTAACGGGTGCCGGTTTTAGTACCAACCGTTTTATATGCTTTTTTTTTGGGACGGTAATGCCGCTAGTTTAAAATTTGTGCGGTTTTTTTTTAGCAATATGGTATTAATGCCCCAAACTTTCGCTTTTTACGCTTTAAAAGCTTTTAATGCTTTATTTCGTGCTAATAACGTTACGGAAATTGTTAATAATTTAAAGGTTAAAGAGTTTGCTTTTAAACATACCCAGTAATTGGTAAATGCTAGCCTTTTATTAATAGCAATATTGCTTTTGTTGCTTTTTTTTAAAAAAAAAATTCATAAGTAAATTTGCATGGAAATTATGCCGCAAATTAATAATAAAAATAATTTAGCGTATTTTAATTGGGTGCTAAAAATGTTGCGGAAAAAGATTCGTAAGCGTTAAAGCATGTAAAATAACGGTTCGTTTCTGGGTTAATAATTAAATATTGCTAAATATAGCTAGGTATATGTTTGTAGCTTTTTTTAATGGGTTTGTAATTTGGGTATTTTTGCGTTTGGTGGTTAGTTTGGCGTTGGGTTATTTATTTAAAGCAACGCGCTTTTTTAATATTTGCGTATTTAACCGGTTATTCCTTTTTACCATTTTAAAATTGTTAAATTTGTTTGTTTTTATTACTAAACGTGCGGTTAATAAAAAAAAGGGGGGAAAGGGGGGGGGTGGGGTTATTTTGGTTCGCATTGGTTCCGGTACTGGTTTTTATTTTTTATTACCATTTTTCGAAATAAATTTTGCGGTAGCTCGCATTTTTCCAGCTTAATCCCGTTTTTTATTTATTGTAAAAAAGGCATTTGGTTAATAAGTAAAATGCCGTTTTGTGCCCGGTTTTGCACGAACAATAAGGTATATGCATATCGGGAACGTTTTATTTTTATAAAAATGCTTTTAATTTTTAATTTTTAATTTTTAATTAAATGGCCATGGCGTTTTGGGCTTTGGTAAATGTTTGGTGTATTTTTAACATTAAGCTATTAAAATTGGGTTTGTTTACGGGAAATACAAACCGGAATGGGTTTGCTTTTGCCGTTGCGGCGAAAGCGTTTTTGCATTTAACGTTCCATTTAATTTCGAACCATTTTTTTTGCGCGGTTTTATTTAATTAGCTTTTATGCTTTGGCGTTAATTTTTAACTTATTTTTTATTCGTATTATTGGTATTGCCGGGGCGGGGCCGGGCTTGGGGTTAAAAAGGCCCGAAAGGTTTTATTTTTGCGCTTATCGGTTTTTGCCCGCTAAGCTTAAAAAAATGTGGTACTTTCGTTTTTTTCGGTTTTTTAATTATTAAAAATATTGTTTAACTTTATTGGTATTAGCTTAAATTACGTTTTTTATTTTGGATTTTTCCCATTTTTTTTTTGCGTTTAGCATTTTTTGATTTAAATATAAATCGATTAAAAAAATAAAACATTTGGGTTTAAAATTGGCCAAAAAGGTGGCTTTGTACGTTTTAGCTATGGTTTTTAAATATGCGCGCTATTTTTTTTTTGGAATTATTTGGCGGTGCTTTTAAAGCGGCCCGTTATTGGTATGGTTATGTAATAATTTGTTGCGCCGTATGTTAAAGCCGTACGGCAAATTATGTTATAAAAAAGCTTTTTTTTTTTGCAAACGTATTGCTTTACGTTAACGAAATAAATTGGGTTAAAGCTAGTTATTGTTTTTTTTGTTTGCTTTTTGCTTTTTTAACGTATTTTTTTAAAATTAAAGCAAGCGTTTAGCCAAACCCCGAAAAATTTGGCCGTTTAATTAAAAGCAACCGTTGTATTGCTAAATTAAATTACGGGCGGGTTTTTGTTTTTGGTAAAATAAATAATTTTTGTTTTGGCGTTGTTAAATTTTATATTGTATTTGGCTGCTTACGCTTTGCATTTGGGCCAGGCTATTTTTAAAAACCGAATTGTATTTTTTGCGGTATTTTTTATTGTTAATAAATTAATATTATTAACAAACCCAATAACGAAATTTTTAAAATGCTTTTTAAATTTTCGTAAAGCAATGCAATATATATAATAAATAAAATAAAAAATAAAAGGGAATTTTGGAAAATTTCGGTTTAAATTAAAATTAAGTTTAATTTATTGCCGTTAAATTACAAAATGGTTATTTTATTTGTTAATTACTTTTGTACCCATTTAATAATTGGTAATGGGAAGCCGCGCTTTTTTAGCGTATTTAACAACCGGAAGTGGTTAACGATATTAAATGTTCCGGATAAATTTAATTATAGCAATAACGCGGTAACGCCGTAATTTTATATTGTTATAATAGCTTTTATTATTTTTTAAATTATTAATTCCGTATTTTTAGCCCGTTGGTTGCCCATTTGGCCGTTAAAAAGGATGCTTTTTTTTCGTTTTGTTAATAATTTGTTATGTTATATTTAATTTAATTGCTTTTAAAATTAACGATAACAAAGCGATAAATTTCCATTTTCCAGTTTGTTTTTTTTTCGGTAATTTTATTTGGTTTAAATAACATTACCGTAACGGTTTTTTTAAAGTGTTTTAAAAAATAGCTTGTAGCAATTGTTGCGTTAGCAAATTTTGCAATAACGGTTGCGCCCGGATATTTAGCGGCTTTAAATAAACCGTTTGGAAAATGGTTTTAACCCGTTGCTTTTTACGGTTTGGTACGGCCCGTTACCGCTAAAATGTTTTGCGAAATTATTAATATAAGCATTTAAAAAGGGTTAAAAAAAGTATGGTATAAAAAAATCGGGTTATTAATATTTAATGTATTGGTTAACGGGTTTGGAAAAAATTTGGTTAATAAAATTTTAGCTTTTTTTTGGTGGTTGCGCGGCGTATCCGGGTTTTTTCCGGTTTTAACCAAATTTAATAACCGGTTTGGGTTTTTTTTTGGAAATTTTTTAAACGGGCTTATTTTTCGAGCTTTTAAAACGCGCTATTTTTTTAATGTTTTATTCCGCCGCAAATACAACGCTTTTCCAATAATTAGCCATTATTTAGCGTTTTCTTTTTATAAATACTTTATTTATTGCTTTATGCGTTTTTTATGTTATTTGTATTTTGTTTTTAGTAAATGCGCGTTGCAACCGGTTTGTTATTTTCCGTAAATTGTTTAATTTGCTTGTTTAATAAAAAGCGCGCTTATTAAAAAGGCTTTGTTTTTATTAAAAGGCTAGTTAATTTGCAAATTGGGTTAATTATTGCATTAATTTGTTCGTTTTTTTATTTATGCTTTTAACGTTATGCATATTTCCGGTTGCTATTAATTTGCTAGCCATTTTAGCTTTAAATTTTGCAAATTTTTTTATAAATTTAATGTTTTTCCATTTCCAATTTATTGCTTATTAATGTTAAATTGTTTGCGGTTTAAAAAAAACGTGGAAAATTTAAAATAAATGGTTAAATTTTTTATTGTATTATTTTATTTTAAATATTTTATAGCATATTGGTTTAATGCTTAAGCGTAATTAATTATATTATTTCGTTTTTTTCGTTTCGTTTTTGTAATTTTTCCGTATAGCGTTGCTAATATAAAGCGTTTGCGGCGTGCTAGCTTTAAAAAAGGGTTGCTTTTTGCGTTATATTTATTGTATAAATTCCAAATTAAATAATAAAAATTAATATTGTTTGTAAAAATTGTATGTTTTTGGGTTAAGTAAATAGCAATTATGGTAAAAGGTATTGCTTAATCGGGGTTTGCTTTAAAATTTGGTAAATATATTAAATAAATTTTAAATGGGCTTTTTAACGTAATAATTGTAACCAAAGCTTAATTATAACCGCACCGGGCGGTTTACGATTTTGGGGCAAAACGGTTGTACACGTAAAATATTGCGTTGGAATTGGATTTTTGGTAATAAATTAATTCGTAATTGCAATTGTACGGCTTTAAAAGGTTTTCGTACCAATTGCGCTTTGGTTTTTAAATGGCGGTAATGTTATATTATTTATTGCTATAAAAAGGAAAATTGCTTTTTTTCTTTTTTTTAAATTTTAATATAATATATTTAGTATTTTTATAATTTATTATTGTTATTATTAATTGGCTAGCTAAAAGTAAAGGTAATTCCGGTTGCTGGGGAATTAAATAAATTTAATGCGGGTTTAAACCGGGTTGGTTGGAACGCTAACGGTTAAAACCGGGGTGGAATGAAAGCGCAACAGTTAAAAGCAATGTTAAAATACATAATGGTGGTGGTAGCTATACAATTATTAAGTGCTATTAGGTTATTAACGGTTTAAATTTCGAGCGTTTCCTTAATTTTGTTAAAACCGAAAAAGGCAAAATTTGGAGTTGTAAAATAACGGTTTATCGTAAAAGCCGGTTTAAAAAAGCTTATTATTTTTTTATTACGGAACTTTTGTAATTTGCTTGCTTTTTTTTATTTAAAAAATTCTTTTTTATTTTCGTTGCTTTTAACAAAAAACCGTTTCGTTTGCGTTTCGTTAGCAATTTTATGTTAAGCAAATTGTTATTTTTTCCGTGTAATGGTTAAAGGGGGCCCTGGGGGGGGGGGGGGGGGGGGGCTGGTGTTGGGGAACGCGTAAAGCCGGATTGTAATTAAGTAACCGCTGGTTTAACCGCTTTGCGGCAGCCCGGCGGCAAAAATCGAAGCGTAATTAATGGTTTATTTGCAAGCGTTGCGTATTTTAGCGATAATTTCGTTTTTTATAATGCGAAATTAATTAAGCATGCGGTTGCAAAGGTTGCGGGTTTGCGTTTTTAACGCGTTTATTATAATTTCGGTTTGTTTTTTTACAATTTTAAATATTAATTTGGTATTACCGGAAAGTACAAAAGGCTTTAATTTTTTAATTAATTGGTTTTTTAAATTTACAATATTAGCGCGCGTTGGGAAAGGGTTAAAGGCGTTAATTAAAGTAATGCTATTGCTGCTGGCTTTGGGGCGGTTAGTAACCGTTCCGTTGCTTACGGGGTTGTTGGCGCCGCTAGCAGCCGCGCCGGAAGCGCGCGGACATACGTCCGGTAGCAAGCCGGGGGCGAAAAGATTAAATTTAATGTTAAATTTGTTGTAGCTAATGGCGTTTTCCCGTTGCGACATCGGGGAGCCAAACGTTGTTAACAATGGTTTTATTTTTTTAATTTTAAATTTTAAATTAATTTATTTTGCACCCATTTTAAATGGGCGAAATATTAAAATTACCAACCTTTTTTTTTACATTTGCTTTTAACGTTAAAATTACTTAGCGAAAACGTAACGGCAATAAAAAATAAAAAAAGCAGCGCTAAAAAAAAGGGTTTTTTTAATTTTAATAGCAAAAACGTTAAACGTTCCGGAAAACCTCAAATTAAACCTTTACTTTTTGCAAATGCGCTGGAAAATTACTGCAAAAAACGTTAAAAGGACTTTTCGAAATATTAAAATTTAAAAAGCCCCGGGCTTAATAAAAAATTTTACCCGAGGGTTATTAATAATAAGCCCGGCATTATTTATAATATTAACCGAAATTTTTACGGCGTGCGTAAATTGCGGATACTTTTTAAAAAGGGTTTGGAAATTCCGCACCATTATATTTAAAAGCTTAATAAAAACCCAAACATTTTAAAGGCGTAACGGCCCATTGTTTTGCTAAAAACGATAAAAAAAAGTATTAAAAAAAATCCTTACGTTCCGAATTAAAAACGTTGCGGAAAAATACCAATTACTTTTAATAAATAAATAAGCAATTAATAATGCAAATTTACGGAAACGGCTATGCATTTGTTTACGGAAATAGTAAATACGGTATAAAATGCGAAAACGGTAATTAACTTTTTATTTTTAAATATAAGCAACGCTTTCGATACCGTTTTGCACGTACGTTTTTTTAATAAAATAAAAAAAATTGGTTTTTACAATAAGTATAAACCTTTTTGGAAAGCTTTTTAAGCGATCGAAAAACGATATTGCATTTTAACGGGAAAAATACGGCGAAAGGCCGGGTACCGTACGGCGTTTTGCAAAAATTCCCCATTTCTCCCATTTTTTTAATCATTTATACAACAAGCGTATACAAAAAATTGCGGAATATAAAAAAAATAACGGCAAAAATTTTTGCAAACGATATTAATTTTATTAATTTTAACCGCAACATAATAAACGCCGCTAGCAAATTTAAAACCGTTTATAACGTATGTTTGGAATGGGTTATTAAATTTAAAGCAAAGTTTAACCCGGGCAAATACCAATTAATTTGGTTAATAAAAAAAACCCGTTGTAACGTTACTTTTTCGTTTGGAAAAGTTACGGTAAAACCAAAAGCTACAGGCGAAAAAATGCAAATATTAAGTTTTTAAATTAATTTTAAATTAAATTGGATTTAATATATCCAAAAAATGCGCGAAAAAATGGCAATCCAAACGCTATCCATTACATGCTTAACGGTAATAACGTAAGGATTTACATTTGCCAAAATTAAATATTTATTTATAACCGTAATAAAAGCGGCGTTAAAATACGCAATACCGGTTTATTACAAATTCGATAACATTTTGCAACGCTTTAAAAAAATAATTAAAGTTTGGGCGAAAATGCAAAACAAATACTTAAAAACGGGGATTAAAATTTATAAAAGCATTTTATAACAATTTTTAAAAGCGGAAACGCACGTTGCCCCAATTTAATTATAATTTAACAATTGCATTGCCCATTATAAAAAAAAAATTGCAAAAAAACGGCTTAACCGGGAAAATTAAAAATGCTTGCAAAAAAATACAGCGGAAATTAAAAAGCAAAAAAAAATTATAATAATAATTACCCGGATATTTTAATAACAAAGCAAAACGTTAAAATAAATTGGGGAAAAAATTTAGAAACGGCGGTGTTAAAAGCGTAAAAAAAATAGTAAAACGGTTACAGAATAATGATTTGCAACGGCGCTAAAACCAATAAAAAGCAACCCGATAAAAAAAGGCTAAGCTTTTACCGCAACTTTTACAAAACGCAAAATTCGCTGCTTATTTAATTGTAAACGGAACGGTTTGGGCTTAAAAATTATTTAACGTTCGGGAAAGTTTCCGGCGTAGCAATTTTATATTAATGCGGTTAAAAGCCGGAAATTATAACTTACGTATTATTGCATTGCCCCAATTTGCAAAAGCAAAAAAAGAATTCCATTAAAAAATAAAAGGGGCAGCAAAATTTTTGCTAAATTAATCCGGTAACGCAATAACAATTACTAAATGGTTTATAAAATAAACCGGTTTTTTAATTACGCTTTATTAAATAAAATTGCCAATAAATAAACCAAAAAAAAACATTAAAAAAAAACGCTGCGATAAAACGGCAAATTTGGAAAAAAAAATGTAACCATTCCGGCTTTAAAAAGCTAAACCCATTTTAAATTTTATTAAAAAACCTTTTAAACATTTTATTAATTATTAATAACCATTACGAATTAGTAAATAAACATAACGCAGCTTTTTATTTTTATGCTTTAATATTAAAATTTAATTCGAACCCGTAAAAATAAGTTTTAGCGGGCAATTTAAAAATTTAAATTAAATAAAATTCCAAACCGTAAATAAAACGGGAATATGGAAAAAAATGTTAAAGCTTTTATACGTTCGGGGAATTTTTGTAAAATACGTTTTCGATATTGCTTTTATTACTAACGGGATTGCCGCCGGGGAATTTTTAAAAAAAAAAGGGGGGGGGGGGGGGGGGGGGGAAAGCAGCAATTTTTTTAATTTCCTTTTCGGGTGCTGCCATTTTTTTTTTAACCGCAGCCACCGCAATAACTATTTTAATTAAACTTATATAACCGTTTGCTTTCGTATTAATAAATTGGAACCCAATTAATTTATTAACGAAATTAATTATACCCATTTTTTTTTCCTTTTCCTTGCTTACTTTACCGGTTTTATTATTACCATTATCGTTGTTATTGCCGTTATTAATTTGCAAAAATTTATCGAAATTGGGCTTATTCAAGTTAAAATTGCGCAAATTCGAATAAAATTTAACGCTATTAAAAAAAAAATAGCATTGTTACAAAAACGAATGTAATTAAATAAACGTACGGCTATGCTTTAAGTAAAAGTTTTAACCCGATTTTAAAAAAAAGCCGGAAATGCGTTAACACAACCGTTCCAAAAAAAATAATTCGAAATATTAACCATAAAAACAATTTTGGTACAAATATTGGAAATAACAAAATTGCATTGGACTACAATATTTGGGTTATCCGCGGGGTAACGGGGAAAAGCAAAAGTATTATGTAGCAAATACGCTTTACAAATAGTTTTAAACGCAACGTAAGCGTTACGCTCGTATTAAGGAAATTACTTTTTCCAATTTTATTAAAGTTTTAAAGTATTAACAAAGCATTAAAAACGGAAAAAACATAACAAAAACCGTCCGGAAAATGCAAAAAAAGTTATAGCTTTGGTTTTGGCTTAAAAGTTAAACGCTTAAGCGTAATTTTTTTTGCGGTTAATAAAGCTATTTTCGGCGCTAAAAGCGCGGCTTACGAAAGCAAGCTTTTCCGCGGCATTAAATATACGTTAGCCCAATTTAAATACCTTTTTACCGGAAGCAAAGGTACATTAGCCATTTTTGCTAACCTTTGTTTTTATACAATAATATACGCATTTTTTAAATTTAAAATTTAAATTAAAGCATTTTATTAACGGTATATCCAAAATAAAGCAATTAAAAAAACGGTAAAAATTTTTTATTATAATTTTGCATGCAAATTCGGTCCAGGTTAATTTTACAACCCATTATTTTAAAGCAAATCGTGCAATTTAACGCGCTGCAATGAATATTAAAAAAGGTTAGCGCGAAACCGCGGGAAATACGGAAAAAAATACTTATAAACAACGGGCTTTGCAACGGTACAAATCGCCCGCTACCGTTAAAAAAGGCAAAGCAAACCTTTTAAATCCGGACTTTTTTTTAAAAGTTATAACGGGTACGTAAAAAGCGCGTAAGCGCCGGACAAAATACCGGAAAAAAATTAAAAATGCGCTAAAAAAGGAAAATTATTTGGAAAATTGTTAAAAAAAGCTACGAGCTTGCGAAAGCGGAAAAAAGAAAATTTACGGCTATTGCTGTTATTATTATTGCTATTGCTGCTAATGGTAATTATTGGCCGGATTAAAAAAAGCCGTAAAAAAAAAAGCAACGAAAGTTACAAAATAAAACCGGAAATAAAGCACGAACAAACAAAAAAAAACAACGGGCAAATTTAAAAATTTTACGAAAACTTACACCCAATAACCCAATTTATACGCAGCGGCCAAACCACTTTTACAACCGAACCACGATATTTTGTTTAAGCATTAACTTTTTTTTTTTACTAACCGTTAAAAGGTACGGGAGCAAATTACATTACCAATATATTACTTACGAAAAAAACGCGGAATTGCAAAATTTTCGAAAGGAAGGAGTTTTTACCCAGCTTTACACCAAATAGCTATTGGTTGGAGGTACGGTTTTTACTTTTAAGTAGTTAACCCGAACCGTAAAGATTTTTATGGGCTATATAGCTCGAAAGGGGTAAATAAATATACATATATGCTATTTGTATTTTTCTACCGTATTTAAAAAAAATTTATTAAAATAAGCTAAACCAATATTGTCAAAATGCTTTTAAAGCATATTATTAATTATCCGTTAAAAGGTTAATAATGCGTTGGTAAAACCAAAAGTTATTATTAAAAATTTATATGTTCCGAATTTAATTTAAAAAGCGGTTATCCATTTTTGGTTTTTTTTAATCCGTAACAAACCGTATGCTTATTAAAGGTTTAAAACCGTAAAATATTAAGCTTTACCGAGCTTGTTGCGTAACTTGTTAATAAAAAGCAAAAAATATCGATCCTTTATCGTAATTTCGTTTAATAGTTTGTAATTAATGCACACTCTTTTTTTTACCGTTTTTTTTTAAAACGAATAAAATTTCGTATTTTATAAAAAAATTAAAAGGCCGAACGGTACCTTTTTCCAAATCCTTTTAAAATTAACGTTTTAATTTTTTTTATTGTTTTGGGTTTAATTGGTATAACTTTTGGTATTTTAATTTTGCTTTTATTTTAAGCTTAATTTCGTAATTAAATGGTTTATATTCCGGAAAACCGGGTTTTAAATCCTTTTAACCCATTTTTTAATATTAATAATATTTTGGAAATATTTTGGCTAATTATTGTAGCATTGTTTTAAGTATACCGCAAAATTGCGTTGTATTTTTTTTTAAATAAATGCTAATAGTTATTGCTTTGCTTTATTTCCGTTAAAAAAAATTCGTTTAGCTTTATTTTTTTATTGCGCGCAACCCGTAATTGTTAAGTATTATTAGTAATTAGTAAAAGCTTTTATTAAATTTGGTTTATTACTTAATTTATTTTTGGATTTTGTTTTTTAATTAAAAAAATTCGAAATTGTAAGGAGGACTTGGGGGTGGAATCCTTTGCTCGCGGAGCTCCAAACGGCATAAAATTAAAGTTTAATAATTATTAAAAGGTAAGTTAAATTAAAGTGTTGTATTTAAGTTTAAAGAAAAAGGAATTTTGCTATAAAAAAAAGGGACGGATCGAACCTTTTTATATAAAAGTACAAAAAGGCTTTGGTTGCTTTGTGCACAAATTAAAAATTTGTATATAAGAATCTTTTAAAGCCCGTACATGCGCTTAATTAGTAAGTTCCAATACCAATTTTTTTAAAGCGCATGCATAGTAAAAAAAAAAAAAAGGAAATTTGCGGTTCGAATGCGCAATAATAAGTAATTTATTAAATTTGTAATTTGGTTAACATGTAAAAAAATGCTTATTTGGATTGCTTCGCCGGATTTGTATTATTGCTAAATAATAAACGTAAATGGAATTTTAATAAATTATAAAAAATCCGGTCCCGGGGCTTTAAAATCGTTAAATTAAAAATTATAAGCTTTTAAAATTGTAATAAATTAAATAAAAAGCTTTTGTAATATTTAGGAATGGGTACGTTAAGGTTAAAGGTAAAAGCTAACGAACAAAAGCAAATAAGCTTTTATTTGGCCCGTTAATCGTCGATTTAATTATTTTAATTTTTTTAACCTCGTTTTTAAGCTAATTTAATTGGTTACGTGCGCTTTAAAATTGCTATTTGCAGCTTGCACGCTTGTTGTATCGTTATTTTCCATTTTCCTTATTTAATTCCATACTTTACACCTTTTTAATAGCAATATAAACTTTCCGCTTAGTTTAAACGCTTAGGATTTGCTCGATTACGTTCCGGAAAGCGCTATTTCAGTTTAAAAAAAAGCTTAAAATTAGCAATTTATTGCTTAAACTGCTTTAAAACAAAGAAATTAAGTTTTTTAAATTATGCCTTTTTCCGTTAAAAAATTTAACAAGCTTTCCTCGTTTTCGGCGTTATAATCCGTATTTAAAAGCTCGCCCGCGCCCGCAATGCCCGTTCCGGCCGTTTTTATCGTTTGCAAAAGAAAGCGTACCGCTTCCAATAATAACCGTAGTAATTCCAATGTTTGTAAGCGCGGTAAAAAGGTGCTAATCGAATAACGATTTGCTTTAATTACTTTAATTCCGTACTTTACGGCAAATTTAGCGTTAAAAGTAATATGCTTTGGCTTTATGCTAAAAAGCTAAGCTTTAATAGCAAGCGTTACTAGCGTTATACCTTTGGTTATTCGTACCAGCCCATGTAAAAAGCTTTTTTTTTGTTTTAATGTTTTTTGCGTTAATAACAGGGTTGGGAATTAAGTCAAAAGTCATAAGTCAAAGTCATGACTTTTGTAAGTAAGTCAGTCAAAGTCACCGGTATGACTTACTAATGACTTACTTAAAAAAATTGACTTACTTAATTGACTTAGTAAGTCACTTTAAGTCAATTTTTGCATAAATTTTTGCATAAGTTTACATAAATTTCTACATATTTTTGCAATTTTTTTTAAAAAGTTATGTTATATATATAACGTTAAATAAATTTGGATTTAAAGTAAAAAAATTAATAATAAAAACAATTAAAACAAAGAAAATTTATAAGTAAAAAATATTTAAAAAAAAACAGTAAAAATAACGGGAAAGATAGCAATAATATAATAATAAAAAGAAAAATAACAAAATAGTAATAAAAGCAATAGTAAAAACAACAATAAAAACAGTAATTATTTATATTTAATATATAAATTTACTTATTTAACTTTCCGAATCGTTATTTTCGCTGG